AAGATGATTCTACATGACTTTGACAAAACAATGAGGAAATAAAGATTTAAAATGTTAAATGCAAGAAACCACAAAAGACTAGGTAGAATCCTGAGATTCTTTTACCTGAAATTAACAGTCACACAAAAAACAATAAGCAAAATATTCAAACAAATTATTAAATATACATTGTTAACAAATTGTCAAAAGGAAAAAGTACATATCAAGTTCAAGACTGAATTTTCTATAACTCTTCAAATTGTGATATTCAACAACCACAGAATTCTAGACATATAAAATCACCAAGCTAGGGTGGAAGACTCTGTGATGTTTTTACATTATAAGTACAAGAACCTGAATTTCATCCTCAGAAATAATGACACCTGGTATGGTGACATGAACTTGAATCCTAGCACTGGGGAGAAAGAAACTCAAAGATCCCTGGATGTCTGTCCATTCAGTTTATCCTAATTAGTGATGTTTTGGTTAACAAGGCAATTTTTTTAAGTGAGATTAACTATTTATGAGAATAATTCCATGGCTATTCACAGGCCAGTATAAGTGCATACATATACTAACACACACACACACACACACACACACATATATACATATGTATATAAACACCTTAGAGCACCACAAATTCAAAGATTATGTGTGCATGTGCGTGGGTACGTGTGTGTGTGTGTGTGTGTGTGTGTGTGTGTGTGTGTGTGTGTGTGTGTGAGTGTGTGTGTGTATGTGTACCTATTTAACAAAAGTGCATGGATGTAACAGTTAAAGCCTTAGTCTTACATCAGAACACCAGAAAAAAACTATAACATTAAAGAATGCCCTGAAAATGACCACAGTGATTGTTGGTCATTAACTGTCCTGATGGTGAACTTAGAGCAAAGCTGTCTATGTGCACGAGATCCTTAAACTAAAAATATCAGTTTCTCTAATTTCACTGGAAATTAAGTAAAGAAGAATTAGTAAATGAAAATGACCTTGATTTTTTTCTTTACCTTCTGCCTGAACTAGGAGGAAGTGCAAAAGGTAAATTTCTCCTTCCTCCTATGCCTGGGGAGGTCCTATAAATTCTGAAACTATTTAGGACACAGTTAAGATCATATCAAAGTCTGACTGTGATGCTGAGAAATTGTGACTACCTTGAAGGTTATGTGATCCCCACATTGTCGCTGCTCTGATGCAGAAAACCATTTGTAGGATATAAGGAATTTAAATACCATTGATCTGCAGAGTTATACTCTGGGTAGACAGAGGATAGGAACTTCTCATCTTTTTGGATGTTGCTACTGAGTCAAATTGCTACATAACTAATGGATACATTATAATATGTCAGTGGGAAAAAGTGATAGTTTGATAGCCGAAGAGTAAGGCACAGTCACTTTCGTTAGAATATAATCAGATATCAGAAATAAACCAAGGATGATGATTACTATAGAGAGGTTATAGATGATTCAAGTATTTAAGCAATCAAGATGGGCTGTAGGGAAAAAAATCTGTCCTTGGAATCTAAATGGCACAAGAGTGACTTGAGGTCAAGCAGGTACTAAGGTATCAAAGTATATTGTGATAATATCTGTCTTATATCAAGAATATTAAAGGGGATGGGCAGTGGTGGCACATGCCTTTAATCCCAGCACAAGGGATGCAGAGGCAGGTATGAGTTCAAGGCCAGCCTGGGCTACAGAGAGAGTAGCCAATAGTAGTGAGTAGTGTGTCTACAGGAAAGACACAAAGCTATGCAGAGAAACCCTGTCTTTAGCCCCACCCACCTGAAAAAGAAAACTTAAAAAAAGAGTACGAAAGGAAATGTGTTATGTTAATTTATATTTATATAATATCGAGGATTACTTCAGGGTGATTTATAGGCAAATGTATGAAGTTGTAGGTAAAGGGAGATGTTAAGATGGAAAGTTTAAAGGCATTCTTGAGCCCTCTAAGTAAAAATATTTTATCAATGAACAGCCTGTAGTCACCAGACTTCTGTAGTTTATGTCTCAGCCCTTAATGGAGCTTGAGGGTGAAGTGAAAGTAGTAGACCCTAGAAGGATGTGGTCCTACTTGACCCTGAATTGTACCTAAGCATCCCCTCAAATTCTTTCTTAAATTTTGAGGGACAGTAAAATTCCAAATTACAAGATGAGGCAAAATGTTGGTAAATTATAGAGAGCTGGAACAGTTTCTCCTGTACATTCTCACATAATCAACTTTCTGCCTTAATTGTTGATAAACATAGGTGTTTTTTATACTCTAGTAGACCTTGTTATAACTTTATTTGTATTCTTCCAGATTCTCAATATCAATAACATTTTGCATTAACTCAAAACTATCCACCATTTCTAACTGCTCCATGAAATACACCTATGTCTGAATGTCTTTGTAAAACATCTTGAAAAACAACGAACACAGTAGTGAAAATAAAACTATACAAGGGGCTCATCAGGCCCAGAAAAAGAAATGCCATATATATATATATATATATATATATATATATATATATATATATATATATATATATATATATGTGTGTGTGTGTGTTAATTGAACTTTCAGTGTCAAAGATGGTTTCTTCTCTAGATCTTTTTCCATGAGGTACATGATACCATAACTTTATCCACTCTGTTGCCTCTATTGTTATTTGCACATGAGAGAAAAATAGTCCAATTGCTAAAGAAATTGAATATTTTGATCAGGAAAAATCAAAATTTTGAGCTTCTATGATAAAATCTATTACAACTTCAAATACCTTTCATGGTGATCCTGGTCACTATGTAGCAATTTCAGGATAATTGCCTAAAATTGTTATAATTCAGTGACATGATACAGCCATCAGCAACATTGAGAGTATAGTAAGTAGGAAAACCGTGGTACAGCAGTTGCCATTGCAACCAACGATTATTGGCTATGTTCTATGTCTCAAGACACATACAGCAATCAACATGTTATATTTTAAGACAGCAAAAATAAGGTGCCTAAAAATGTCATGATCTGCATTTATAAGTAGATTTTTTTCATCAATTGATATGAAGTCCTGTCAAAATGTCTTCTGAACATTTGTGTTTAGACCTGTTGATTACTGGAACTGTTACTGAGTTTATTGAGATAAAAATTTTACAGTGTTCATGGTAGACTTGTGTGGAGACAGGGTAGATTATGGAAAATATTTATCATTACCAGAAACACTGGGAAACATTGCAGAAGACACGACAGACATATAAGACATTTAACTAGGGAAAAGAATTGGGGAATAAGTCTTTTCTCCTGCTTACCTGAAAATGAGTAATGAGTGAACAGAGATGGTCTTTCTGATTCAGAGAATGACTTGCATTCTATAGATCTTATGGGGGAAAAGCAGTGTGACACATATTGACATATAACTATGGTAAATGTAAAGAGGATGTGAACAAACCCGGAGGGAAGAACGTCACTGATCTATAGATGTTGATTCAATCTGGCCCCCAGCAGGTCTGGCTTTGGGTACAATCTGGTGGTATATATGGGAGGTGGAAAGTTGAATGAAGGCAGCACTCAGGTAAGCAGCTATCCCGAGTTGAAGTTCATACCGTGGTGGATCATCTCAAAGATGCCGCTTGCTTTGACTTTCCCAAGCTCTGGTAAGTAGCCATTCACTGGGTACCTCTTACAGTCTAAGTAATCCTTAGACTTAGTATATTTCACAAAGACTGTTTTTAGATTAGTTTTTTTTTTTTTTTTTGGTGTGGTCTGCTCTGAATTTTGGAGAGAACTGATATTTGATCATGCTTAATCTAGAGAGAAGTCAACACAGAGCTGAAAGAACTCTCTATATTCTAGTTGCTTGATTAAGTTTGAGCTCAGATTTTTCAATAGGCATTTCCTTGTGTAATAGACGAGGCAATTCTCAGAGTTATATTGTGTTGTCTTTATTAACAGGATGGTAAAATGGAACATCGTTACTGATACTTAAGAGCCATTAGATGTGTAACATCTTCCATTTTAAAAGGCACAGTATAGAACAAAAGATAATACAACAGAGCTGGGTGGCTGTGGTGCATGCTTTTAAACCCAGCACTTAGAGGCAGAGCCAGACAGATCTCTGCGAGTTCCAGGCTAGCCTTGTCTACAGAGCGAGGTCCCAGATAGGCACCAAAACAACTCTAAGTAACCATGTCTTGAAAAACAATGATAATAATAATCATAATCATAATCATCATAATCTTAGAACTCAAAGTGTTCAATTTGCAATATGGAGAAATTAGGGTATATTGAAAACACAATATTAAATAAAGATGTAGTCCAATTGCTTCAAGCACAGAAATAGGAAGATATAATTAATTTGTGTGACAAGCTTGGGTAACTGCTCATATAAATCAATCTGAATAAACTATTAAATCACCCCAGTCTTAAGTGATATGTACAAGGAAAGTGAATTAGTTACAATAATAATGTATTTAATAAAATGAAAGACAACAAAAATTCTCTAGAATTTCAAATATGTGCAGATAATGACTTGAAAACTGTGGTTCCTGGTTAATCAAACTCTATGTGTTTGCAAACTGAAGAAACTCTTTTGGAGCAAATGCAAACTGAAAAATCTCCCACATGTCAAACTTTTACTGGAAAAGTGTAGCTATCTCTGTATTTTACCAGTTGAAAAAGTGAATGCTCTAGCAAGGTATATCAAAAAAATTCACATAGCAGAGGGCCCTCAGAACACATTCCCAGCTTGTTTAACTGTTGTAACCTGATTTGTATAGATCACCTCATTGCCATTTCTCTGACAGCAGGGGTATGTATGTTACTGATGGTGTCAAATCTGCTGCTTTGGGAGCATGTGGCCTCCAAACCAACTGGCTTTGTGTCCACTGAAGACCTGTATGACCGAGTGGTTGATCAGTCTCATACTACGTATTTCCTGGCTGCAGATTTATACCATGAATTTGTAAGTAATGTCCTTGCCTCTGGATTCTTTTCTAAAAGTACCTTCACATAGCTAATCACTAATGAAATTGGAATGACTCATGTATCCAATTCCAAATAATTCAATTTATAAGTAATAGAAAGAATCATACAGCAAAATGTATAAAGGGCAAAATATGAAGTTTCATAAAATCTCAAAAAGAATTCAGTGATATTTGAAATTTTTCTTTTCTAACTTTAACAATAACAACTTTGAACTTCTTAGTTGGAATTTTGATTTCCTTGTATCCAGAGGTTCTGTATTCATGAACATTCCTTACTGACTGATCTGAAGATAACTAGTACAGGGTAACTGAAGTTAGTTGGGTGGAGAGAAAAAATTTAAGCAAATTGAAATCATGTAAACAATAAAAATAATAAAACAACATAGTTACAGATAAGCTCATAAATGCAAACAATCCCGGGTTATCATTTTTAAAAATGAATGTCTTAGTGTAATTGAAGGGTTACATTAGACACAAACTATATTCCCTCTCCCCCAGTGATTTAACTCATCTATCAGGGCCTGTCAGTGAGGAAACAGCAAAGCAAATGTCCATTGAATATTGAGCATATGGATTATATATTGCTACATTTATAGGGAATATACTTTGGCATTGTTGTTTTCCCATACTAGTTTTCTCATACCTCTCATTCTTCCTCTAATCTTCTAGCTGCACAACATTGCTAAGAACACTTTAACTCTTTTAAATTTGTTGATAGTTAGAATTAACTGATTTGTATTTTCTTAAGAAATATCTTATGCAAATACGTCCTTCGTATCATTAGCACAGAAACTTTGAATATTTATGTGAATTCTTCACTCTGTGCTATTTCCTTAAAATGCAACTAGAATTTAATGGTTAATTATTGATTGTAATAATATTTATGAACCCTACATTTATTATGAACATTTTTATCGTGTTGGCACTTGTTGATATTTGAGAACCAAGCTATAAATGAACAGTTCTTTTATTTAAAAAAAGGTGTGTGCCATTGAAGAATAATTATTTCTATGACACTCATTCTAGAAAATCTGATACTTAAAGATGCAAGTAATTAGAAGTTTAGGTGCATCTTATTGCTTTCTTTCCAAACAATAACATTAGCAAGTACAATACAAGGGAGCAGTAAAGTAGAGAAGAGATTGAGAGGAATGTTGAATAGATTGCATGCAGAAGGGAAGGAAGTGTAGGCAGATGGTGTTTCCATCATTCTACTGCTTCAATTTTTGTTCTTAAATATCAAAAATGTAGGGTTTATCAAACATACAATGTTAGTTAGGACTCAATTCTGAATGCCCAGTTAACTAAATCATTTAATTTTATCCAGGACATGAAATATTTCAGGAGCAGTTGGTACAAGACCAGAATGCCCAGCCTATGCCACACTGCTTCCATCCACACTCCACAGTCTCGTGATGAAGCCCATGAAACAAAAGTAGGTTTCCTCCCTGTTTTTTATGAAACAAGTTATGCTATACAAAGGTAACTGTGCTGTGTGTGATTACTAAGCCAACAAGAGATGTGTAAATTTCTGATCCCATAGGTCAAAATAGATGTGGCTGTCAGAGAACAATCACATCATAGAACTGATAACTAACTTAGCACTAACTAAAATGCTTGCCAAATCATATTGTCCCAGAATTGTAATTGTCTTCATAGAAAACTGTTTTTACCAACACCTGCTTTTTCCAGGAAAGTTTTGATCTGAACTGGACATTCATTTTTAATATATAAATACACATATAAATCAAATCCCTTTGTGTTTGTAATATAACACTAAAGGATCCTCCTCTGGCATCTAGTTAAAAAACTAAGCAGTGTGTCCTTTCTTTTTATTTTTCTAAACTCTCCTGGACCTATTTCTGTTCCATCCTAATTTATATAGTCTTCCCTGACTGATCTGCCTTAGACTACCTACATCTTAACTGTACAAAAGAGTCTTCTCTAAAATATATCATGTTCCTCTGAATGACTTCTGTTTTGAAGACATCTACATAACTCTGAATATCTAATGTATATGTATTATGATCTCTTCACTCTGGCTACTTGTCATAAACATCAATTTTATTTATATAAAATTAATACATATAGCAATTTCACAGACATAATCTATTCTCCAGTCATGCTGGTATTACCAACAAAAATAACTCATATACAAGATAATCTCATGAATAAAGTGTGGTTATCATAAAGAAAAAAGAAACAGAACAAAATATTTTTACAGATTACTTTTCTACACAATGGGAATAGCATACTGATGACACTGAAATATTTAATTTTGAAAAATAGTCTCTGATAACAGTACTTTTAAGAAGACAACGAACTATGGTTCCAAACAGTACACAGAATTCATTTCCCTTGCATATTAAGTAAGAATTTACACTAAACTTCTTTCATGTCATGTAATCATTCTTACTCCTTAGTATCTAACACTACTGGCAATAAGTTGATTATCACCATTGGTGTCTCCATTTATTCATAAATATTTTATTTATATTATAGTTGAGGCCAGGCAGTGGTGGAGCATGCCTTTAATCCCAGCACTCAGGAGGCAGAGTCAGGTGGATCTCTGTGAGTTCGAGGCCAGCCTGGGCTACCAAGTGAGCCCCAGGAAAGTGCAAATCTAAGCACAGAAACCCTGTCTTGAAAAACCAAAAAAAAAAAAAAAAGATTATAGTTGAATTACACTCTGTTCTTTATTTCCATAGACTGTAAGATTCCCTATAAACATCACAGTAAACAGCTAACTAAAGAATTTATTTTGTATGACTCTGGCATTGTGCTAACAATTACAGGCCAAAATTCCATTCTGATTTTTACCAATGCCTGGAATTAAAACAATTCTTAATAATAATTTTTCTTGTGTATATGTCAATAATTATACAACTCCTCTAGAATCAAGGGTAGCAGGAATCATGCAGATAAAAGAAAAAGTAGGACTTTGGAAAGTATTTTGTCTGAAGTCACCTGTTATAATAGTCTACCATAATATAAATATCTTAAGTAAGTATATGAGAGACCAATTTGATTCAGTAGTATAGAAATGATTAGAAGCATTAACCACTGAGATTATTGGCATCGATGTAATATGAGTATATTTTGGACAACTCCTGAGCCCTGTAAACCTACTTTTCTCATAGGCAGGGAAAGCAATCAAATAGAACAGTTCAAACAACTAGAACAAACAGTAGAACATAAATGTAAAATGAAATATGCTCATTTTGAACAGTCAAAATTATTAAGACCCAATTTGTTTTATTAGACAAAGTAGAATTCAGTAGCTGAAATTGTATTTTCAGGTAATACTTAAATATTTTGAAGTCATTTACATATATTACTACTAATAAAAATACACTGTAGTATGCCTCCCTTGTGAAAAAAAGCACAAGTATCTATCAACACAGCTGTATGTCACTTAGTTTAAGGTGATATCTAATGATGTTTTCCTAGACTGAAGACCTTCTCAAAACAATGATCAATATTTCCCATGCTTGGGAAGAACCGCTGAAACACCTGGTTTCTGCAGTGCCCACCCTCCCTGGAGCTTCTGATAAAATGCTGAAAACAGCCAATGCTGTGAAGGACAAAACCCATGTGCTTCTGGAAGGAATGAAGACCATCCTCAGTAGGGTAAGCTGTTTCAACATGCGTCTTTGTTCATCCTATGTATAAAGTTTGTGAATTGTGTAACTCAACAAGAATTGTGAAATACCCAAATACAAGGTCACTTAATAAGCTCTTAGAACAATGATCTCTGTAGAAAATAGTTCTGTGCCTCATAGTCATTTTGACAGTGGCTTTCCTGGATGGGGTGGACACTACAGCCTAATATGCAGAAGATCATATAACAGTCATTGCCTGGATTGCCTGCACACAATACATTAAGTGAAATATACTGCTCATGTTCAAGGATTCAATAGAGTGTATACAATGTAGAATGGATTTATCTGAAATGAAGGAAAGGATCAGGACACTCTACCAGAACTAATATGGTATGAAGTACACATCAGGGAAAGTCCTGGGTACATGTAACACTCCCCAAAGTGAAAGTACTGATACTAGCCTTTCATTGTCTTTTAGTTAATTCCATATTTACATTCAAATAGTGCCTCCTGGTTCACTATCTGTCTGCTTGTGTATGGATCTGT